CTACGGGGACACGGGTTGCCAATAACCCCCTTGAGCCGATCCTTCCAATCATAGCCTAACTGTATCCGTTAGAATGAAACCTATTAAAACAGTGAGAGGCAACACCCTCTTACTTCTTTATCATGCCCAACTGCATATTACCATTGAGTGCATACATGGAAAGGTTAAGACTAAAAGGAGAGGCGGCAGAGGAGACCCCCAGGGAGAGTAGCATACGCAACAAAATGGAGACAAACAACCCTACCACTTGGGCTATCAGAAAATCGACCATCTCGATTCCACCAACCAGATAATTTCAGATATAAAGTCTGGCAGCTAAACATGTTGATATGAGGAGTTTGCTGAAGGGTATGGAAGTTGGGGAATTAGGGCTATAATAATTACGGTTCCTTGTATGGATTTGTAGAACACACAAATGAAAAGATACATAAGACTTAGGCTAAAAAGCGAACCCCAAATATATGTAAGCAAGCCAGTGAGCGCAAGTAGATGTTTTTGAGCCAAAAATTGAATGCTTGAGGGGAATGAGCTGAGGGCTGTTCAGCATGGCTGTCTAATAGAATTTTCCAACAGGAAGCTTAGGAGGAATCAGCTGAGCCATCAGCTGATGTGTGTTTACAACTAGCTGTGATCAGCTGATGTAGCTGGAATTGAGAGTCGAGTCTGACTTTGTGGCCTGCCTGAACTAACTCTATGCTTAATTTTTAAGACTGAACCCAACAATGTCTTAGCCCACCTCTCAATACTTTCTGATTTCCAAACCCTGTCTGTATCCCCAGTACAAAACAGCTGCTTATTGTAGCTTTTAGCAAACTTCACTCAAACAGGAGGAAATTGTGCTTTTGTTGGGGGCTCTTTTTAGCTGTGGATTAACCCACATGTTGTACTCTAAGTCAATAGAGTTTGGAGCAGCAGGAAGGTGTGTGTGGGATTGAGTCATAATAAACTACTACTTCTACTAGTGTGTGTTCATGGTAATGAAGGAACATGTCATTGGTGTGTTTTTAATAGTTTTTGGACAGCCATAGAGCTCCATGGCACAGAGGAAGAAGATATACATATTCATATATATACATTTGTTGTGTTCCCATGTCCATTGCCTCCACAGCCAGAAAAAGAGGTGGACTTAGCAGATCCAGATGACCTGCAGTCTTTCAGAGATAAGAGGGAATACTTCCAGAAGATTGGTGAGTGGAGTTAACAAGCACCCAATACTTTTGGCTTTTTTTTTTTGCAAGAGAGGCTGGTGAAAAAAATATATGAATGTCTTTATGTCTTCAAATCAATGTTGTAATGTTATACGTAGCACTACAAATTATCATATTAACAGTATCATTCTATATTACATATATACTCAGTAATGTTCTTATACAATTTATTTTAAAGGGTTACTTTGGTCTTTTTTTAAATGGGGTGGTATCGGGTACACAGTTAGTGTATGGAAAGAGATCAGTACGCACAGTTTGAAGAAGTAGGGAATACACTGACTATGGATAAGTACCACATACAACCCCACTTAAAAAAAAAAAACTAACCCTTTAAGTCATGGATTTCTTTATTCCTCACTATCTTTCTCCACTACTGTCCTCCAGGGACTCCAGGCCAATCCAAATCCCAAAAGCCTAAGCCAGCCACCCCCGGCGCACCCAGACAACAGAAACCCTCCTCGCCATTACCTCCTCCATCACCCCCCCCTACCGCACCTAAGCCTGAGGGTAAGAAAATAAAACAATTTCAAGGGACTAGATAATATTGTGTGGAATCTGGAGATACTGGGATATAGATTTAGTTTCTTATTTTACCACAGTGAAGCGTCTTCACAGTCCTCCTGCCAGAGAAGCAGACCCCCCAAAAGAAGCACCTACCCCAGCTCCCCTCACTAAGCCTCAGCCCGAACCTACCTCCAGCATCCGGGAAATCATCAAACTGTACAACAGCCGACCCCAACCAGAACCCAAACCCTTTGAGCCTGTCAGGTCTGTACACACTCATATACATAATCTGATCTGATTTCCTGCTGGATCCTGCTTGGACCTTGCACACCTTTTCCCCTTCACAAGAAGTTTAATTTAGATTCTACATCACTCTGTAGTTTAAGAAACATCGGAGGTGCATAATGTCTCTGTGGCGTTGCTGTGCAGCCAGTATCAGGTGAAATTATTTGATTTGACATGTTTTGAATCTTTTAACTATAGTTTCTGTAGCTGTGTAACATCTTCAATATTAGAAAGCTATAAATTCAGTTTCCGAACACACCTTGCAGAGATTGAAAATACTACAAACTACTCAACTGACAAACAACAAACCTCCTCAGACATCAGATGTCAATCAATACAACATTTGCCTTCAAGGAAAAGAGGTCGGAAATCAAGGAATGGATTTACCCTGTTAAAACAGTGTCAGAAATCCCAGCATGCAAAGCTAAAGGAGAATATTTAATGGGCACTACAGTCGATCAGACTACATTGACAAAACCACCATCAGTGCTTCATAGAAGCTACATGCGCTTTATAGTTTTGTGTTTCTTGATATTCAAGGGTTTTTTTTTTAGTTAAAGCATGACAAATTTTAGTAATTTTACAGTTACTGCATGGTCTCTGGATTTCCTCCACTTTATAATGAAGAATTGCTTGGACACACACTGAACACAACTCTGTTTTAAACATGTTTTATCATAGTTACCCCATGACCTTGGGGTAATATATACATTGCTTATACAGATTACAATTTTCCTGACAGCTCATGATCAGCAGATTTAGTTTATCTTTTGCACTCTGCTGTCATTGGTGGTTTGTTTCCTTTTGCATCAGAATCTGCTTAGAACTGGATCAAGTTGGAGCACCATGAGGTTCCTAGGGGTCTCCAGCAAAATGAGGAGTAAATTGATCGCACAATGGCCTCATTAACTTAAAATAATAACTTTTGTGTTCTCTTTACAGACCTCCTGTACGGCATTTTGTAAAGAAGAGTGACCCCAAAGAGGAAGCTCTGGCCAAACTCAAAAACAAAGCACCAGTGCCACAAGAGAAGGTTGGGATTATCTGCAACTAGAAATAAAAATCAAATTAATCTAAATTTCTCTAGAAAAGATAGAGCTTTTGTTAAGTTTCATTATTATATACATCATGCTACATCCTGATAATCTTCCACTTCTTCCTGCTTGCAGAAACAGTGGACGCCTCCTCCACCGCTAGTCAAGCCTAAGAGGGAGCCCCCTCGTCCAAGGACCCCCTCCCCGCAGCGCTCTCCTCCCTCCACCAGGGGCCGCGTCATCTCCAGCAACATGAAGCAGAAACAGCGCTCCCTGGGGGATCTGTTTGGCTCGCAGCGCTCCCAGCACCCTCCGCCCACTCCCCCCGACTCCCCCCCACCTCCTCCGCACCCGGCACCCATCCTTCGGGACATCCCCGACCCGCCACTAATGGCTGCCCCATCTCTCAGTGGGTGTCATTACATTAATGTGGATTAAAAGGCCTCTCATATGTGACAAATGCAGTGTTATCCAATGACAGGAAGTTCATGTCAGTCATTGACCGTTGTTTGCTGTTTATTAACTGTAGATGATGGGATGCTAGATGAAGACAGCATTCGCTCCCAGTTCCACCGCTTTTCTGCTGGCGTTTACTTCTCTTACTCCAACATGCCGGGAAAACTGTACCTACGAAAAGAAGTAAGAGAGACACACACACACACACACAGAGGACATTTATGGTGATTCACTTAAAGCTCCACTAATCAATGTTTTTATATTAACAACGATTCCAATGCGGGGCGTCTAGACAGCTCACCTGATAGAGCTGGTGCCCCATGTACCGAGGCTGAGTCCTTGCTGCAGCGGCCCAGGTTTCAAATCTATCTGACCTGTTGCCCTTTGCTGTGTGTCATTCCCCTCTCTCTTCCCCCCTTTCCTGTCACTCTTCAGCTGTCACTATCAAGGCAATAAAAGCCCCCAAAAATATAGAACTATGAACATAAAATAACTCCAATGAATGTGTATTGTGAACAGGGGTGTGTCCAGAATTTTTTGACTGGGGTGGGGCACTGACTTATGCAGGGGTGGCATAAAGTATGGCTCTCAGCTTTCCAGTCATTCCCAATTTATGCAATTCCAATACTGTTTATGGACCCCAGTATGCAGAAAGTGAAAATAATTAATATATACCACATGCAAAAAAACGCAAAGGGGAGACTTATGGGTACCCATACAACCTATTTTAATATCCTAAGGTCAGAGGTCAAGGGATCCCTTTTAAAATGGCCACGCCGAAATTTAGCCTGACTTTGGTGCATTATTTGCCCCCCTTTCTTACATGCACATGGTTGGTACCAATGGATGTGGTATGTCATCAAATTTTATATGATACCAGTATCTTCACTCTAGCATTAAAACAGAGCCCACTACAGCCTCTGAAAATAGTGCTGAGTGGAAGAAGTAAGGATAGGGTGGGGTGGCATGGGGGGTGGCCAATCAGATTGGTCCCTCTGGGTGCTCTCCTGTGTGTCACTCATAGTGATGAACCCATAAGAATTATCACCAGCTTTACAGTTCTCCTCAGCAGTGTTTTGGTGTCTTTCAGCTCATTGTTTTGGTTTCACAGTGCACAACGTAACTGTTTTGGTTCAGTCTCACAGCTCTTATGAAACTGCAGCAGCAGCAGGCATTTGTTTGCCGTGATAAACTCACTGTACATTACCTGATCAGCACCAAACAGACCAGCTGGCGAAGATAGTGGAGCATTTAGCAGCTTATGAGCCAGGCATTTTTCTCAGGAGAGCTAATAGGAAAGTGAATATTAGACTTACATTCACCAGTTAGCCAGAACACCACCAAATAAAAGCCAATTGTTCGCTATAACAACAATTTCTGCTGCACCCAATGGCTAAACAATCAATGAATGCAGGTTTCCTGTTTTTGTGAGATTAAACATGAACCTTAAATGTGCCCTGTGGAGTTTTCTTGTAAACAAACAAAAGCTGCCTGTAGATCAACAGAATAAGATTGACAAGACATTGACAAGAGTGCGATGTCCGAGTGCACAGAAAAACAAAACAGGGACCCACTCAAAACCAGTACATTTGACTCTTCAATAACGCCTTTCATAGGGAATTTAAACTGGAAATCTTTTTGATTAAAGCCCCTTCAAAAACCTAAAGTATAATGTATTTGTGTGCAGGTGTTCTATCCCAGAGAGATGTTCAACCGGCCCTACATCCTCAATTTGCTCTGTGAACAGGTTGGTGTATTATATATATCATATATACTATATACTGCAGTTTACTGAGTGATCCTGTTATATTTAGCTACAATGCCCAACCATTTATTGCTCATTATCTCCATTGCACTTCAGAGGCAGGACACATCATACTTATTGTCATTGTGTGATGTTTTTCAGATTATGAGGGACACCTATTCTGACAGCTGTATGAGGATCAGCAGAGAGGAGAGGAGGAAGATGAAGGACCTGCTGGGTAAGATTTTTGATGGATGATCATAAAGTTGGATGCTACAGTGGTTGCAGTGTTGGCGCAAATGTTGTGGTTTTAAGGAATACACACTGAATGTACAGTGTATTATTTCTAACTTGTTTCTGCATTAGTTTTGATCCCATTCTGTATCATCTGCCCTCTGTAGCAAATTTCAATGTGGGAACGAGTATAAGCACCATCCAGAATGACAACATGAAGAAGAGGATTGTCATCGCTGCTCGAGACAACTGGGAAAACTACTTTACCCGCCTGTTCCCTGTGAAGGTGAGCAAGGCAAAAAGTTACGGCAAACTTGGGGATCACTTAAGTGTAAAGAATCTTAGTGTCCATTGTTTTATTACATTACAAGGAAAGGCACCTTTATCATTACAGTACATTTCAAACACAAAGGCAATTAAAAGTGCTTTATGTAGGCAAAGAAAGGCATTAGAACATTTAACCTAAGGCCTGAGGCCTTCAGTATCTTCAGCTGGAAACTCATAATTCTAACCTCACAATACATATGTTTAAATGATGGAAACTAATTTCTAACAGTGTGAAACTTCAACCATGTGGTGCTGCAGAATTATTCAGAGACGAGATCAAACTTTCTTAGACAGTATTCAATACAGGCTGGGATTTCATGGCTTTCCAGATGTCATTAGTTGATGCCAAACCACTTACCACTTGTGAATGTTAACAAGTGTCCCCTCTATGTATGTGTTTGTTGCAGTCGGACAGTGGGGACACACAGGTTTTGGGTGTGTCTCATCGGAGCATTCGTCTCCTGAAGGTGGTCAGAGCATCAGGCATCAACCCCAAACACCTCCGTCTGCTCAGGAGCTACAGGTGAACATGCAGCCTATGCACATGCATAGCAGAAACTACACATTATGACACATGCATAATTACATAATTCACATTCACAAATAAGTAAGTAATTAAGTATGTGAGTAAACTTAATTTATAGTTACAAGATAATAACAATAAGAACGCTTTCTCCAGCCACAACTGCAAGCTCTCTTTTATTTTTGGTTTTGGGATTGCTAGAAGGCTTATTGTCAAAAGTAATTTTCTGATAATAAATGTACATCACCTAAAAAAATGGAGCCTACATTACACTTGAAGAAAAACAAGGTCTTAACAACTTGAAGAACCTTAACTTTAACTTTAAAATTCTGGGCCGTAAAACCACAATATTGCACTGAAAGATGCAAAAACTTCTGTAGAGCTGAGATGCAGAAGCTTTAAGCACACCCCTCAAATTTTATGTTATCATTGTAGAATATGTTGCAATGTGGTCACAAGCAGTGTCTTCTACTTATTCTCCAAGTTCTGCTTGATAAGTCACGTTCAGCTCATGTTTCTAGCACAGAATGTTAACTCAGGTCTGCATGAATGTAGCTTTGCAGAGCTGCTGTCAGTTGACCTCCAGGGTGCAGACAGAGTGGAACTAGAGCTCAAGAGTGAGAACTTGGTCCTGCAGTCATCCAGAGCTCCTCAGATCACTGCCATGATCCAGTTATTCCTCCAGGAACTCATCAGGGTACCTCTTCTTTCTTTAATGATCACCATTTCACCATCTTTCCTTTTGATGCTCTGTAGCATCTTTTGGTCATGTTGATCCGATTCTTGTGTTAGAGCCCCATCACTTTTTGTCCATGTATCACCTTCACGGACGTCCTTCTCCCTGCTCTCTAGGACTCCGGCCATGTGGTTGCCCTAAAGAGTTTTGTGACAGATGACAAAAGTCTGCTCAGCTTCAGCAAGGGTGACGTCATCAAACTGCTGCCAATGGAAGGGCTCCAGATAGGTGAGGTCATTATTCGGATCACAGACATAAGTTTGCAATAGTTTTTAGGGTTAGATATGCCTTCTCCTTCACATCAAATTACATTTTCATGTGTTCCACCAGGCTGGCGTTTTGGCACCCTGGGAGGGCGCTCTGGTCTTTTCCCAGAGGACCTCACCCAGCCTTCCGCGGCCCCGGACTACCATGCACTCCACCTTGATCGAAGAGATGACAGGAGGAAAAGCATGAGGACTGCTAGACCTGCTGGTCCAGCCAAGGGCCCATCTTCAGTTCCTGTCATTGGAAATGTGGGCAGCGCACAGAACTCAATCCGGAGCTCAGTCCATGAATTTGAGATGCACTCAGCCATGGCTGAGTTTGCCACCAAATACTTTAGGTATTAAGAAAAAGAAGAATGATAACTATTGTTGTTGATTATGTTCAAGTGTTTTGGGTTCACATAACCTTGTTATGGCTAATTTTGTGCTACCATTATTTGTTTGTTAAAGAGTGGGGACTACAGGTCTGCCAGCCAGTGGAAGGAATTTTTCAGAGACTGTTCAACACACAGAGGTGAGACACAACAATAGCGTCATCACATCCCATGGTTTGTGGTTTGTTCATAGTGCAGTTATTGGCAGAGGTGTGGACTGGAGTCACACTCGAGTCACAAATTCAATGACTTTAGAAACTCAAAAAACACTAGAATTGCTGGTCAACTCACAACTACCAGCCTTTCTGGAGGAAAATATTTTCTTTCAATGAGCAGAGCCTGCTGGACCTGCTCGTAGTACAATAACTGCTCTCACTGCTGCTGTGGATGACAATGGTGTGACAAAAAGCCACATTGTACAGCACTCTTTGTGGATCTGTCCAATCAATATTAGCCTCCCCTTTACTATAAACATAAATACATTTTCCAATTGAACATTGAAATGTCACGTTTTTATACTGATGATATCATCTTGTATGCAATCAATGGAAAGGAATACAATACAGGAAATTCAAACATAATTCCTCTCAATCATTACTCAGGATCTACTGTGTGTGGCAGTGTCTGTATCTGCAGAGACCCCAGCCTATATTTTCAAATTTTTATGTGTGCTGGACGATTCTGGGAGTCAACCTTTGGTCTCTGGCTATGTCTGTCCTCTGCTCCGTCTGTCTGTGTTCTGGATGCACAATGAGCAGCAGGTCTGTGTGTCAGTGTCAGTTTGACTGTGGGAAGATAAAGCTACACTCCAGCTGCATTTACACACAATCCACAAATATGGCATTCCTGCAGGGTTGTGTGGAGGCATGGCTATGTGTGTTTGTGCTTTAGAATGTAACCTCTGTAAAACTTCTGCTAACGTCACGTCTATGTACAATAGCTCAACCAAAGGTGCTCTCTCTGGCTCTCTCTGGGGAGTGATGTGATTTAGATATGTAATTTGTTCTCAGGTCTATCTTGTAAAAGAGATCTTGATGATAAATAAAATGTAACTAATTAACTGCATTGTGTTTCTTTTTATCAAGGTCCTCATACAGGAGTCCCTCATTCTCTACAATGATCCTGAACTCAATGATCTGTCTGTCCAGTGCTTCACAAGTGAGTGCATCCACTCTAACCGTACTAACACACACTGAGACCACTGTTGGTCTGTTCCCCTGTCATCCTCCCATGTATCTGTCCCTCCAGACCTGATGCAGTTCATGGGTGACATGCCAGTGAAGAAGAATAGCAGTCACTTGGACTGCCTGAACAACATCTTACTGGTAAGTGCTTTTTCCAACAGTGTATCTATTGGACTGCATCCATATGGGGTTTGTGTCTGTGTATCTCTGTATCTCTGAATTTGATGGAATTTAAAATGTTTCTTTGTTCTGTTCAGTTAGGGAAAGAAAAGGAGCTGCTGAGAGATGAAATCTACTGCCAGGTCATCAAGCAAACCACCAACAACCCAACCAAGTGAGTGTGTGTCATGTATTACAGGTTTTTGGTTATATTTTCAATACATAATATTACTGAGTAATAACAGGAAATAAATACAATTAAACATTAAATTAACCAAGTATCAGTCTTAAAAGGATGTTAAGACTATTTAAGTCTTATTTTGCCAGCGTAAATTTTAGCGTTTTAATGACAATTTTTATTATAACCTCAATGGTACCCAACACAGAAACATAGGAGCATGCTGGTTAACTTTGATTTATTGAACGTTAATGTTATGGTTATTAGTAAACATAGTAAAAAAAAAAAAAGACATTTAGTCCATCATTGTTACATTGCTGTGCTTTATTGATAATTGGTGCAGTGCTTGTCAGAAGTGTCTGACGCCGTTGTTATGAAGAGGACTCAAGACAGAGCTGTGAAATAAGAATGTTATATCCAGATTTTTTTTGTCACTGCAAAGAGTTACAAAGCACTGAAATACAGTTGGGTGTTTCTAATAATGTGATTTCATTACATTTATGAAGAATTTTATGGATCCAAACACCAGTTTTGTTCATGTCTCATAACTGTAGTCTAAATGTGGAGATACTTAAAATGAGATATTTTCATTTCAATAGAACATCATTTTAAAATAAATTGTTCTAAACTTATTACTTACTTATCGACCAAGGCACTGGCTCAGGTCTGGAGTTGGCTGTCAACTGCTCCTATACTTAGGATGGCTCAAATTCAGAGCAATAATTTCCCTACGGGGACTAATAAACTTAATCTACCCTCAAGATCAAGGAAAACAAGGTCAAGATCAACATCTTTTATTCTAAATTATTGTGAATTTATTGTGTGTCCTTACCTTACCTTAGTAATTGTGTATTTTGAACTACATTTTAAAAATAAATTAATATTATGGTGGAATTCATATCAGATGCTAAGAGTCAAAGCTAATGTAGCAGAATTTGCTAGCGGTCATTTATCTGTAATATTAGCAAAAATGTAATTTCCCCAATATCTCTTTAACGCAGCAATTTTAGTTATATAGAGCTTGTGTTGCAGTTAAGTGTTAATAACTATTTGCAATTTTGTAGCTGTTTATATGTATTACTGACTTAGGGGTAAAATTAAAATTCATAGAGGTTGATTAAATTTAAATGGTAGAGGTTGATTGTTTTAGTTTAGGAGAGTCACAATCAAATGATTGTAGTTGCAGAAACACCCCGTTGCAGAATTGATCTAAATGATCCAAAATGTCAGAACATGGTGAAAACTGTTGATCAGTGTCCCAAAGCCCAAGCTGACGTCCTCAAATGTTTTGTTTTGTCCACAACCCAAAGATATCCACTTTACTGTCATAGAGTACTAAAAAAAGCAGAAATTTCTCAACTTTGAGATTTTATTATTATTATTATTATTATTATTATTATTATTATTATTTATTTCTGATATTTATTATCAGAATTGTTGGTTATTAATTTATTATTTGACAACTAATCATAATGGTTTACTCGTTGCAGCTTTACTAAACTTCCGACAATTTCTCACAACAGTTATGTATTGATTGTTGTGTTTTGTCTCGACAGATCCACATGCACACTCGGCTGGCGCCTGCTCACCCTGGTGACCGGGTTCTTCCCCTGCTCTGCTACTCTGCAGCGTTACGTCACACATCACCTTCAAGAAATCTCTCAGGACCTTGATCACCCATACCAAGGTACATATATACACACCATCGACATATATAAAAATGGACGACATAACAGCTCTCCAAAAGTGAAGCCAAAACATCTCTATCGCCCTCTGAGGGCAGTATAGGTCATAAACCTCCATGTTAGCAGATGGGACATCGGCCAAACTAAAAAATAGCTTCTTATCACGCTGATGTATGTTCAAGTGTTAATATTTCTGATCAGTTTGATTTTAATTAGTTATTTGAAGCTACAAGAAGGGGGTTTCATGTCATGATTGACAGATGAGCACTGCTCGCGATTTAGTCAGCCGTGGACAGGACTTTGATACCAAGGCACCAACCCCAATCACTACTGTGCAGACTCTGGCTCCAAATAAAGCCACATTGCAAGATGGTAGCGGCCGTATCTGGGATATTTTGGCTTAATTTTTGTACCGTAAGAGGCAGTGGAAATATGACGTCCATCTTTTATATGTTGACACATTGATTGATGATATCAGTGTCAAATAACATACACAGTGCCACAAAAATCTGGATTTTTACAAGTCATTGTAATGTGAAAAAAAGTCAGCCATATAATGGTTTATAAACTTAATAAAATAAACATATGTCCTCAGAGCTGGCCAGTGTGTGTCAGGATAACCTTCAGCGTTGTCTTGGTTTTGGCGGTCGCCGCAACCTCCCATCCCATGTGGAGATGGAGGCCATTCTGGCAAGTTAACTTACACCTCAAACAAATAAAAGCATGTCTTTTTAATGATGTATTACCACCATTATGTGCATTTATAGCTGAACTAGTCTTGAATGTGTCTTGGCTTTCTGCAGGCTGGCAAAACGTCTCTACGAATTCCTATCCAGCTGCCAGGAGGAGTAGATTTCCCCATCAAGATTCGGACCTTCAGTGTGAGATTTATTTATACCTTCTTATCTATGAAAAAAAAACAACACTCTTTTTTTATTTTCAATATCTCTGGTTATATTTTGTTTGTATCTTCCTCTAGATGGCAGTAGATGTGGTAGCAGAGCTGTGTAAAGAAATGGGCATCTCAAATTCCACAGAAATCAAAGAGTTTTCCCTCATCGCCAACCGACATATAAGTAAATCCCACTGGTACTGTTTCTAGTTGATGTAAAAAGCAGTCATTGCATTAATTAACTAATTGCAAATGCATTAATTCATAGATGTGTGGCAGTCTTTGGAATTTAAAACAGCTTTATTAAGCTAAGAATCCCTTATCCTGGGTTAAAGGTCCAGTGTGTAACATTTAGGAGGATCTATTGACAGAATTGAAATCTAATATTCAAAGGTATGTTTTTATTTCGTGCACTGGTTCTCAACTATGGTACGAGCTGCCTCTAGTGGTAAAAAATTATATTAATTAATTTAAAAAGATACAATACTATCAAAATACAACAAAATTTTGAAAGGAAATACTTACACTATAGGATTGCTGAAATGTAATTTGAAATAAGTTTAGTATTTTCCTGTATATTGTGTCATGCACCTTCTCCTTACTCCTCTGCTCTTCCCCCGTCAGAAGGGATAGTGCGTCCCATCCATGCTGAGGAGTATCTTTTCGACTTCCTGCTGGATGACGACTCCATCACCCTGTCTCTGAGAAGAGTGATGTGGAGAAACCCTCTGTCCTTCAACAACGACCTTTATCTGGAGTTCCACTACCAGCAGGTGGCAGAATCAGTCAGGAGCAGTAGTAGTAGTACATTTCTACACACTTCCAATCCAGTTTCCATCTCACTGTTATATTGTCTGTGTGTGTGTGTGTGTGTGTGTTTGTGTAGCTCTTAGGTGACTACTTGAGTGGCCGGCTGACGCTTGCTCTCGCTGCAGATGGTTCTCCACCAGTCCAGCAGATAGCAGAGCTGTCTTCCCTGCAGCATCTGATTCACGGACTGACACACATGCCCTTACTGTGAGCCCCACACACTGAGAGCCACACACACTAATACAATACTAATCAATAAAAGAAAAGGAATCAAACACAAACATATCACTGTTATGCCAATGATACACAGATCTACTTTTCTGC